CCCCAAAACCCCAAAACCCCAAAACCCCAAAACCCCTTAATACAAAATGGGGGTTGAATTTAATTAGCGCAAGTTTTGAAAGTAATTCAGACATACTATTAGCTTATTTGATCTTTACGGGCTATTAAGTGAATGCTGAGGACAACAGGTTACTGGAAGCGTGAAATTTGTGCCATCAAGTTTGTTCTCCCTTCAAAACTTGGCTGCTCAAACCCTGCATTGTACTTCTGTTGTGGCTTTGTTTGACTGATCTGTCCAATCATGTTGCCTTGCAAGTAATTGCCTGAGCCTGCAAATTCATCTTCGGCTGCTGGTCTGAATTTAGGAGTTTCGAAGCCTCCGAACGACTGGTCGACTTTGCCTAAATGTGAGGGAGAGCTTACTGTCGTGAAGCGGAGTTTGGAACGAAGCAGCAAAGTTGTGTCTGGATGGATTGTGCTGAGAGTCTGTTTTCATGGGAACACCGAAATGTTTTTGGTAGATGGTGTCTAAAATAGAGCCATCTTCTTTTGTCTCCTTTGCATCCAATTGACCTACAGTGACATCTTTCGCTTGATTCTTCTGATTTAAGAAGCCTGATATGCTATTGCTTTGTCCTTCAGGCTTGTTATTATTTAACCCGACACCCTGAAATAAACCAATTAGATTCTCTTGATGTTCATCATTGCTCTCAAGAGGTACTTCTTCCTCGGTGCCAAAGTACTCATCATCCTTCTCCACTTGAGGTTGTTCCTCTTCTTCCTCAATTTCTTCTTGATCATCACTTGACATTTGGAGACTAAAGAGTTAGCTAAATCAGTTCTTCTAGAATTGGTTAAAAACTTAATCTATCAGAGATTTATTTTTAAACTATAAATTAGGTACTTTAAGACATCATAATGCTTAAGATTTATAAAATAACTCTTTTGTCTCTTGGATCCATACACTCAAGTGTTACTGAAAATTTAGATGAAGGGACTTCAGACTATTTGGTAAAGAAAAATCAGTCAAACTCCTCAAAAATCAATTATTGATCACTAAAATTTACTTTTCTCAGTGTTCACTGAGGCAATTCTTGAAAGCCTTTTTGTCGCTCAAAAAGCTGAACCAGATGCAAATGTTGGTTGCCTCACTATATTGGGGAGAAGGATAGGGGATTTCATTATTCAAATCTTTTTGCATCTTATGCTCATCTAATTGCTCAGATTTCGAATCGAGAGGACTATGACTACCCATTGCTAAAGAGCAATTCAAGGGTTTATAAGGGGTCATAATATTAAGGACCACAATCTTTCCATTATCTTTAAGCTTTAGTTCGAAATCTGAACGAATGATCTGCTTATAATTGTACCGAGACTTGTGGTTATGGATTAGAAAAACCAAGTGTTCCTCATCTGGAGTCCTCCCTTGTGCCTTATACAAATAAAGAGGTCCTTCATGCTGACTCTCCATCCAGGAATAGGTTTCACATTCATATTGATAGAGAGTGCAGAATCTAGAAATTGTCAAGAATTCTTTGAAATTTGGATCAATATTACGCAGTGCTTTTGCTGCTATTGCTCTCGACTCTCTGTTTAAATGTGAGTAATTTGGCACTTTTGACATTTTTAATAATTTTTATAATGCAAAGGGGTTTTGGGGTTTTGGGGTTTTGGGGG